TTTAATATATCACTATATAAAATACGAAATTGGTTGTATACATTTACACAAAAATATATTAAAAAACTTATTAAATTAGCTGAATCCATTAAGTCCATTAATCCATTATCCATTAAGTCATATACATTCCTATTCAATACTAAAACACGACCGCGTCAATATAATGGTTGTGCTGTTGATAAATTAAAAGTAGCAGGTAAAACCCGAAGTTGGCTACTTTTCATAACAAGACAAAGTTGTTTCCTCAAATCATTACAAGAAAGAAAAATTAATATTGCAGCAAAATAATCAAAACATTACATTGACAAGCAGAAGAAAGGCACTTGGTAAGATACTTCATCGTGGTCAATGAGTGGTAATATTCAAAAAGATTTTGGTAATACATTTAGGAACATCTCGAAACGATTAAAGTAATATTGCAACAAATAAGGTCTGCCAGCAGAGTGACTACCAGTTGATGCAGCACTGGTCAAAGCAACTGGAAAAGTTGTCAAAATGCATAGATGTCCCACTTTTGGGAGAGCCCTGAGGAAGATATCCCTTCAGGAACAAAACGAATGTCAGGACTGCCAGCAAACTGACCACTCGGTGATGCAACACTGGTCAAAGGAACTGGAAAAGTTGTCAAAATGCATAACTGAAGAAAGAAACTGTGAACTGTAACTGACTGGAAGCAGCAAAGTGAGTATGAGCAAACTTAAAATTAAGGGAAGCAACCGGAATAAGGCAACTTAGTGCAATAACCACACAGATAATAGAACTGAAGGAAAAACCGGTTGTTTCGCACAGTCATGTGTACTTCAGCAAGTGAGTTACACTTGCAAAATTCACGTGCCCTAATACGCCAATGGTTCATTATCAAATCATAACCTTCTGACTTTAAGAAAAAAAAGCCAGAATTTCATCAAGAATTGGGAAAATTCCATGTGTTTTTTTTTTTTGAAATACGGTAAATGTTTACTTGTGAAAAAAATAGCAATAAAAAACAGCCGATATAAATAAAATATTACAAATAATTAAATAAAATATTACAAATAATTGGAAAATATAAATAAAACATTACAAATAATTAATATGATTAATATAAATCAATATAACTAATATGCATTAATATAACTAATATAAATTAGTGTAATATAATTAATATTATAAATTAAAATGTCATAGATGCACTCGGCGTTTGAGAGTAGAGTGTTTGTGCGGGCGGCCTTGAAATTCTTTGTATAAGTAAAAACAC